AGATTAGAACATTTGAGAATATTTGGATCTACAGTTTATGTTCATATTAAAACTAGAAAAACCAAATTTGACAATAAGTCATTTAAAGGAATCCTAGTCGGATATTCTCCAAATGGATATAAGGTGTGGAATGTGGAAATGGAAAGTTTTCTGGTTGCTCGTGACGTAATTGTTGACGAGACCAGTTTCAAAATCACTAGACCTACAAAAAGTGATACTGAATCAACTTCAGAGCCAAAAACTAAGAAAACTGACTCAAACTCAGACAAATTAGTTATTTTTGAACACGAAAATATTCAAAGTCATACACAAACAGCAAATGAATCAGAATTTATCAATTTACGAAGAAGTGAAAGAATCAAAAATCAACCTAAGCCTTACTATACCGATGATCTTGATCAAAACATTTATAATGGTACTTATAACAAGATACTTATCAGTGCATACTCTCTTGAGAATAGTATACCTAATTCCTATAGGGAAATTGATTCAAGACCTGATAAGGATCAGTGGGAGCAGGCCATAAAGGATGAAATTGATTCATTACTTTCGAATAATACTTGGTCGTTAGTAAAGGAGCCCGCCGACAAAAATATTGTTGATTGTAAGTGGGTATTTACTATAAAAATTGATGAACATGGAAATCCTATGAAATACAAGGCGAGACTAGTGGCAAGAGGTTTCAGTCAACAATATTTGAGTGACTATAATGAAACTTTCGCACCTGTTGCGCGTATATCAACTTTCAGGTTCCTCTTAGCCTTCTCAAATCAATATAATTTACTAGTCCACCACATGGATGTAAAAACCGCATTTTTAAACGGTATTTTGCATGAAGAGATCTATATGAAGATTCCTGAGGGCATAAATGTAGTTTCTGACAAAGTATGTCGATTACATAAGTCAATTTATGGGTTAAAACAATCATCAAGATGTTGGTTTGAACGATTCGACAAAACGATAAAAGAAATTGATTTTAAAAGTTCGTCAGTCGACCCCTGTTTATATTTCTTAGATAGGGGTAACATAAATAAAAACATATATGTTATTCTATATGTCGATGATCTATTAATTAGTACAGGTGATAAAAACACTATGTCAAATTTTAAGAACTATTTGAGGAAGCAGTTTCAGATGACAGATTTACAAGATGTAAAACTTTTCTTAGGTATTAGAATCCAAAGATCTGAAAACATGGTAACTTTAGATCAAAGCAATTATTTGAAGACAGTTTTGCATAAATTCAAAATGTATGATTGCAAACCAATAAAAACACCTTTAGAAAGTAAATTGAATTACATAAAATTGAACAGTGATGACAAGAGTAATGCACCCTGTAGAAATTTGATAGGATGTATTATGTATGCAATGCTGTGTACACGTCCAGACCTTTGTATATCCATAAATATTTTGAGTAGATATCAAAGTAAATCTAATAATGAACTTTGGATAAGCTTGAAGAGAATTTTGAGGTACATTAAAGGAACTGTAGACCTGAAATTAACTTATATTCGTAATGATAATTGTGTCAATATGATTGTGGGCTACGTAGATTCGGATTGGGGAAACAATGAAATGGACAGAAAGAGTACAACAGGCTACATATTTAAAGCCTTTGGAAATTGTACAATTTCCTGGAATTCAAAAAGGCAAAACTCTGTAGCTGCCTCCTCAACTGAAGCAGAATATATGGCTCTTTTCGAATGTGTAAGAGAATCTATATGGTTGAAGAATTTATTAGCCAGCTTAAATATAAATTTAACAGCTCCAATTCCAATTTTCGAAGATAATAATGGGTGTATTACAATAGTAAAAAATCCAACGAACCATAAAAGAACCAAACATATTGACATAAAATATCATTTTTCTCGCGAACAAGTATTAAAAAATAATGTAACAATAAAATATATTCCAACAGGTGAACAACTGGCAGATGCCTTCACGAAACCTTTACCTGCAGCAAAATTCCAATTCATAAGATCGAATATTGGACTACTCTAATTTTTGTATTTTATGTAATTCCCTTCATTATTTTGTCAAGTTACATGTATAAGGCTCATTTATTCATTAGGGTATAAGTTACTTGAATCCACTTTAGTTTTTCTTTTTGAGTGGGAGTGTTGAATATATTATCAGTTAGGCAAAAATCAAAACTCGAGTCACTGAACTATAAACATAAAACAAATAAGATTCAGGGCGCCGTGAATGTCTAGCTGAATAAGGGTATTTTCATAAATACAGTTCCGAGTATATGCCACGTGTTTTATATAAACAAAACTAGGAAGTAGAGAGTCTGCTGGAAATAATTGTGTGTTAGTCTTTTGAAGATAATCGAATATAGATCATCGACACTATTTTATGTGTTTGATTTCTTTTGTCCCTGTAACCTGCGTTTATTTTAAAAAAGAGTGCAACTGTCAGTTTCCTATCCAACAAAATCGAAATTGAAAGTATTTCTTTTCTTCTTGATTTCAAGCATTTTTCGAAAGAATCAATGATAGCTAAAAATAACAAATGTTCAATAGCATCATTGAGTAGAGGACAAAACGACCTTTCAAGCGATATGTCACATGATCATCTTCGCAGTCGAACTCACCGAGTTGATAAAGTCGACAACATTATCAACATGATCGTTTAAGCACCAATAGTAGTCGTGTAGCACCTCGTTGTAAAGGACTTGAAATTTCCTACCCAGCAAAATCAAAACTGTAGTATTTTTATAAACTATCTTATGAGATTTGACAAAAATGAGAACCCTGAAGAGGTCGTCTGTTGAAGGAATTTGAATCTGTGCAATTTTTGTGACACGAGACTGTGGAAGCTATATATAGTTCTGCATTTCATTCAGATTCAGACACAAAAAAGTTGTTCTGCATCATAAGCTTTGGTCCCGAGAAGAATATTCGACAGACTGTGAAATTGGTATGGTATAAACAAAGGACTGCAAGAAACCTCAAAGTCGGCCGTGATTTTTAATCAAAAAATAACCTTACTTGTTCCAAGATCTGTGAATAGTCTGAAATGAAAAAATATGCGAAACAAAATGTTTCCATAATTTGTCGATTTATTTTTAGTGATTTTATTGATGCAATGATACATAATTGTTTCCTTGTATAGTTGGGTTTATCAGTATTTCACGATTTGGTCCCGCATTTGACCGATTAACTGTCTTGAGTAGACAACAAAAGACTGTATTTATAGCATATGCCAGTACCCGTACGGATTGTTCGAAAAAGTCGCCGATTATAATATGCACAATCTCTTTTCCGTTCTATATTAGGCTTACCTACTACCAAGTGGATTGGGGTCACGTGAAACAAACAAAAGATTAAAAACCAGCGGAGTTTAATGACCAAATACGTTCACATTTATCTCGACATTCTTTCATAAAATCATTTTACGCCGAAACGTATAAAAATAAGCCTATCTATACTGTTGAGAAATAATTGTGTGAATTTTTATTAATCAGCTTCCGTTTCTGGAAGTTTTGGCGGTAGTTCACAATCCTCAAAATATTAGCATATCATCATATAGACATCAGTGGCGGCTCGTGACTTTCATGACAGAGGAGGCTGAATGATATGAGATTTATTTTGAAAAACAACACCCAAATCAATAGCTTTAATGACATTCTGTTAACCAGTTAACCTGAACTTGATACTTGAAGAGATGTGTTCCTGTGATTTGCAGTGTCTATCCAATCCGCGAAATAAAATCAAAATCCATGTATTTTGGTGTCCTTTTAATGAGAAAGTATAGATAATATCAGTTTAAGGAGAATCTCTGAGGAGGCTCAGCCTCCGTTACTGATAGACATCAAAACATTAATGAGATTACTCGACGACTGTATCTTCGAAAGATAAGCTGATTGATTTACCTTCCTGATAATTTTATCAACAATAATTTACTTCAAAGGGTAGGTATTGAAAGGTACTTCAATTCCTAATCAAATCGTTATAGAAATATCGATTGATATGTTGAAACTAAACATTGACCAAACATCATCTTCATCTACCTTTATGACGCTGTATACAGGGTTTTCAAACTTAAGTCGGCACTATATTGCTAACTTGGTTATTATTGGAGCTACAATGTCAATTTTTCTGCTGATTACGATGACGAAATTGAAACAAAATTCAAACATAGCGTTCACGAGTTACGTCAAATAGTTCAAGTCCTTTAAATGGGACACCCCGAGGGGTAACCACTTCGGAATTATGGTGTATAGGCATGTGGGATTCTAGTGGAATTCCCGTGGGGTTCCGTGGGATTCCAATAGGATTCCGTGGGATTCCGGGTGGATACCAGGGATTCTGGTGTACACATTTTACGAAGGTAGTTTACCCTTCGGGACACCCAGTATACAACACCCTTAATCGATGGGAAATTGGATTCTGAACAAAAACCAAGGGGTAAACCGCGGTGGAATTTTGGTGTACAAACAACTGGAATTCCTTGAATTTTCTTGGAATTCCTTGGATTTCCTTGGAAGTCCTTGGAGTTTCTTGGAAGTCCTTGGAGTTTCTTGGATTTCCTTGGAAGTCCTTGGAGTTTCTTGGAATTCCTTGTGTTTTCTCGAGACTTTGCCTTATTAAAGTAAAAAGAAATCGTCGATAGCTTCTTCATTTGTGAATTGAGGATATCAATTTATAAGACAGTTCTTGATCAGAATCGAATTTTCAATCGATTGGGAATATTGTATATTCATAGTCCCCTTCAAAGAAATTGTACTTTTTGACGTAACTTGTGAACGCGATGAGAGATTTTTTGTTAAGTTTTCGTCATCGTAGTTTGACTACGTGGCTCTGATAACAACCAAGTTCGCAATATTGACGAGTTATATAAGTTTGAAAACCCTGTATATACTTATTTCGAGATCGCTTCGTAAACCCAATTATAATGGCAATTATTACAAAACCTCCTGCACGTAAAATACCAAGCAAAAATGCTTCCTCCATATTTTTCACTTTCGTAACACCCTGTATGCATAAAAACCTCACCTGTCGTCGTCGTCGTACCGCCTCCTGTATTCCGAAACACCGGATTATCGTCGAAATTCGCGAACCCGTTCTGCTGCGCCACTCCCTCCTTATTACCACCACTACCACTATTATTATTATAATTATTGTTCAAGGTGGTGGTAGTGCCACCGCTAAAAATATCCGCCCTATCGAAATCGACCGCGAAGGCGTTCCCGTTCACCGCCCCGCCCCTATTCCTGTTTATCTCCGGCCTCGACCGCTGCGTCGACTGCACCTGACCTCCGTTGATCTTCACCGGCCGCGTTTCCGTCCTCGTCTCTCCGGTCACGTGCACCGGCTCGAGGTAGTAGCGCTTGCGCTCGTACTTCTCGACCATGAAGTCCTTGACGGCGGTCTCGTCGCTGGGGGGCGTGGTCGGGTGGGAGGAGTCGTACAGGCCGAGCCACACCCGCCGGCAGTGGGCGTTGCCGCGCGCGCGCAACAGGTCGACCTCGTCCGTCGTGAAGGTGGCCATCGAGATGGATTTGACTCGGTGGGGGGGAGTGATGCCGCGCCTGGAACAAACGGGGATCGGGTCATTATTCGTTGGGTGCCGTTAGTGGTATGTCGTTGGAAGATGACGAGAGGGGCGTGGCCGTGACTCAGGGTGGGCGTGTCAGTAAGTTCTACAGGTGCGTTCACAGGTTTCTTGAATTCCAGTTCTTTCGCACTAGTAGGGGAAAATGTCAGTTTGAAATTTTATAATCACGTGATATGTGTTGTTAGAAGCATATTATGCACGAATGGAAAAGTGAGTGCGTATTTGTCTTTGTAAACAGTTCGTTTGTGATACTTTTGTCCTTGACAGTTGCTATGTCAAATGCTGTTGACGGCGATCATACGATTATGGAATACTTGCAGACTATACGAAAACTGTGCGATATGCTTACCGTGCGTAATGAGCTACCTACTGAGACTGTATTTCGTGTGTTCTTGCCTATTTTTTATAGTGGCCGTAGCTAAAACATATTATGAATTATTATTATATACCAAAGTAAAACAGAAACACTACTAGTAAACGATATAGATGATTAATTGATCTCACCATCTATAAGTAGAGGCGAAAGTTCCATTTTTTTGGTACCCTATTCTGCTTATTCAAATGATGCCTCAGCGTACTTAAATCCTACCTTCAAACATCCATTTATACCTTAATATACAATCTCATGAAACTATAGTGGTGGAAAATATTTGTTGTCTCATCTTCAACATCAACAGATACAGGATGATCAGAATTCTGATTCTTGAACCACCCCGTATACGTTCCAATTAAATGTCATTAGATAGTAAATCAAAAGTTAAGTTAGTGACATGTGAGCCATTTCGACCAATAATGAAAAGTTTCAACACAAAAATATCCTCAAGTTGAAAAATCTCGATTTTGAACACCCTATATCTCAGTTATCATTCCCGCTAGACCCCAAGTGTGATAGATCGATGAAATCAGCTTTTCAGGGAGAATCTGAAAATTCATTAAAATACAGGGTGTTCTATTTAAAATAAGGAAGTTAATAATATTTCCGGAATATCTCAGTTATTAGTCATGCGATTCCAACCAAATTTGGTGTGGTATGAATAACCCTCGGAATAACCATCAATATGATCAGTTTCACAGATATGCACATTATTTTGGACAGTGCCGTGCGTTTTATTGAACTAAAAAGGGGTCGATTTTTCATAAAATCATATTAGGCATTTTTTTACAGGAAATCTAACCTCATATTATTGTTCCTCATGCTTTCGAACCTCCATATGCAAAAATTTCCGAATTAACAGGATTGGCTTCATTTTCAGTCTCGAATATAAACAGTGACTTCAAATCAACTACGGATTTTGGAACGTTCAATGGCTCCGGTAGGTGGAAAATCATGATTTGGAAGGAAAAACGAGTTATACTTTTTTATGTTGAACTCACCGTTTCCGAGTAAATAATTACGTTCGCAAAAATGCTGTTTAGATGTGCCTGTTTTTCTGAAACCCTTCATAGGCATCTTATGAAAATCCACATATGTGGGTTTGAAACCATAAAGAACAATATTATGAGGTCAGTTTTCCTGTGAAAAAAATGCCTAATACGATTTAATAAAAACGGACCCCTATTCATTTCAATAAAAATGCACGGCACTGTCTAAAATGATGTTCGTCTTTGAAAAACTAGTCATATTGATGATTATTCATACCGATACAAATTTGGTAAAGATCGCACGACTGATAGCTGAGATATAGAGGGGGGGCCGTTTGAAATGAGACACACGCTGTATATAACCATAGATCTAAATACACACATATAACTATTTCTTTCAAATCTAAGGCGATATTATTCAGTTTGTGAAGTGAAAACGGCCTGCTAGTGTTTTAATACTAGCAGGCCGTTTTCACTTCACAAACTGAATAATATCGCCTTAGATTTGTTTAAATGTACTGCATTTATATCTAGCGATAAAAAATAAGAGAGCATCGAGATTCAAGGTCGTTTCGTTCGGTGCCTGTCACGGCAGGCAGATTACTCTGCTCTTTCTGTTCGGTGCAATCAACTCGAATATACGTCAGTCGATGACTGATTATACTTATCATCATCAACAGACTGATCCTCAGACGAAATAGGTAATTCCTGATCCTGAATGCCGAAGGACCCCGCAAATTTTTAAGGTAAATTGGGTCCCGGTGGATTTTTCCCAATTTTTGGTATGATGTAGTTCATGTGGTTTATAGAATATTTTTTCTGTGACGGGAAAAAAGTTTGGCATTTCAACTCTGTTGGCAGGTTACGAAATGTCACTTTTCATAAATTACTTTTTTCCCGTGGAAAAAGAGTGAGTACTTTTTTCCCGGATATATATCACATATATACAGTGTCTTTCAAAAGTATCGGAACGGTCTCATATTTCAGGAACGGCTTGAGAAAAATTCACGAAATTTTCTACAGGGTGATTATTGATGATGTCTGATTCAATGGTGGCATCGGCAATGTTGCCAAGTTTACAGTTTTTCAGATATTAGGAGTAACTTTATTTTTTCAAATGGAATACCCCATTTATTTTTATTGCAATTAATTAAGCGCCTCCTAATTACCTGAGTCCCTGAATATCAGATTCGTAATTAACGTGATTTTAGAAATATGACAACATAGCATTTTCGTTAAAAAGTTCTGGAACGGTCCCATATTTCAGAAACGGCTCAGAGAAAATTTATGAAAACTTCGACAAGATGGTTGTTGATGACGCCCGATTTAATGGTGATATCGGCAATGTTGACAAATCAACAGTTTTTCAGATATTTAGGGTAACTCAATTTTTTCAAATGAAATACCCTATTTGTTTTCATTGCAATACATACAGCGACGCCTTATTACGAAAATGCCATGTTGTCATATTTCGAAAACCACTTCAATTCAAAATCTGATATTTGGAGACATGAGTAATGAGGCGTCGCTGAATGTATTGCATTGAAAACAAATAGGGTATTCCATTTGAAAAAATTGAGTTACCCTAAATATCTGAAAAACTGTTGATTTGGCAACATTGCCGATATCACCATTGAATCGGGCATCATCAACAACCATCCTGTCGAAGTTTTCATAAATTTTCTCTGAGCCGTTTTTGAAATATGGGACCGTTCCAGCTTTTCAACGAAAAGGCTATGTTGTCATATTTCGAAAATCACGTTAATTACGAATCTGATATTCAGGGACTCAAATGATTAGGAGGCGCTCAATTAATTGCAATAAAAATAAATGGGGTATTCCATTTGAAAAAATAAAGTTACTCCTAATATCTGAAAAACTGTAAACTTGGCAACATTGCCGATGCCCCCACTGAATCGGACATCATCAATAATCACCCTGTAGAAAATTTCGTGAATTTTTCTCAAGCCGTTCCTGAAATATGAGACCGTTCCGATACTTTTGAAAGACACTGTATATATATATACACTGCTGATGGCTTTTGTTGTGCTATAGTTCCGAAAAATGAGTTAATAATACCGTCTCCGAGAAAAAAGTCCTTTTATCTTCCATTCGACTTCGCGGTTACGTATATTACTGAACAACCACTAAATTCGCGATTTTTTGAAATCAAATCACAGAATTAGACTGACAGAAGTGACATCAGATATTTGATTTCTTCAAAAGAATGATAAAGATGCCTACAACGCAGGTGTCCCTACTGTTAAAAACTTAAAATTTCACGTAGATAATTTTGAGATTTCGAAATAATGTAATAACAGTCCAAGAATTGAGTCACTCTCTCGTTGGATGGGCATTTCAAATACCTATCCTACAAAAAAAGGTTTTTTGGAATTGGTCGGATAATAACGATTTTACAGGGGTGGTAAGTCCTTAAGGTGGACACACTGTATATTTCGAAATTAACTTTTTTTTTGTGCTACCCTTGATTCTTTACAGCAATTATTGTAATTCCAATTTTGCAATTATAGTGATTTCCAAAAATAGACACAGAAAGAATTACTGACAAAAAATAAAAAATTTGGTATACATCAGGGAACTGTATGGATTTAAAATTATCGTTCAAAACAAATAAAGCCTAGAATGCATGATGCATGAGCTATTGAACAAAAATAAAATTGTTTTTTATGTAAATTTTGCATATTATTATCGAGATGTTTATATTTCTGTAGAATTTATTTCAAATATCCTAATCGAAGATATATTTCCAGAAATCTGTCTATTGCTAATCATAATATTATTTATTTACATTCTTATAATACGATGATAAAAAATACATCTTAGAAATATTTAGACACACTCATGATATTATCACTTATTCATCAGCTGTTGAAATAATTTTAATGGTGAAAAGATACCGAGATGAAATTTTGTGTAAACATAATTAATTTCGAATCTCGCATTTATAAAAAACCCGAGAACAAAACGAGTCAAAAACCATCTTAACCACTCATCTCTTTCCTTGAATCCTTTTGAATTTCACCCTGTGCATTCCTCAACTAGACTCTATATATGAAATAGTAGTAAATGTCCTTCATTTGGTAGTTAAACCAACTGGCCATCGATCTCCATTGAGGTCCTTCAGCCCAAAGTGTTCTGAAATGATGTGTTCTCTGTAGGCTTTGTTACTAACTCCGCATAGTCCATACGCCACCTTAGGTAGCAGCACTGTTAATTGAAACGCAACAGTGAATCGTGCAGGACTATCCCCAGCCGATGCTCCGAAACTTTACAATATACAATTCGTAAATTAAATATTACTTATTAGAAAAATTGTTCGCCCTTGCTCACGTCCCTCTTTGATATATTTTACAGGACTTCAGAATGAATTATGAATAACCATACTACAAAATATGGGTAAGTACAGGGTGATTCACCATAAATGTCCCCCCCTCTAGCTCACTTATTTTTGAACCGATTTGAAACTTTGAAAAATAATCTAAAATGATTTTTCAGAATTTTTTTCCCGTTGCATCAGAAAATACAGAGTGCTCGGAACAAATGATCTACAGAGTACTACTTGATTTTTTCAAATGAAACACCCTGTATATC